AATAATAATAATATAGAAAAAAATAATAGTAAAAATGTTAATCCCGAAAATGAATTTATTTATCCCAATCCCAAAAATAACTCAAAAAATTAGTTTTAAAAAGAAACCCATTTTATAATAAATAGTTTATTTTTAATTCAAGTCCGATTAAATTTAATAAAATAAAATAAAATTAAAGTTAATTAATTTTAATTTAAATCTTTGTATAAAAACAAGAAAGATTTATAATTTAACCTTTTTTTAAAAATAGTAACTTAACCAGTTATAATTTTTTTTTGAATTCGATGATAGATAACCATAGTTGGTTAATGATTAAATGATATTTTTAAAATAATAATCAAAAACAATCGATTTTATACCAATATTTAATAAGTTTAAAAAAATTAATAAAAGAATAGATTATTGTTGTTTTTTGCCTCTAATATTTTTATTACCTTTTTTTTTTATTATTATTATAATAGATAGAAACAACAATAATTATAAAAATTTAAAAAAAAAAAAAAAAAAAAAAGTAAAATGACAATTTTGACCACCTTTTTAGATTAAATATTTTTCTCCAAATCCCAAAAATATTTATTATTAATTTTATATAATAACATTAGGATTTTTAAACAGAATATATATAATTTTATTAAAACTAAATTGTTTAAAAAAGATAAATAAATAAAACAATTGAGAATTTAAACTAATAAAAAAAAATAAAAGAAAAAATAAAAAATAAATTTATAAAACAAAAAAAAATAAAAAATAAAAAAATGTAAAAAATATTTTTTATAATTTTATAAATTGTATATATATTAATGAGTATCTCAATAAATATAGGAGGAGATATATTAAATTTCTATAAAATTTTAAATAAAAAAAAAAAAAAAAGGAAATAATCATATAAAAAGTATATTTTTTTTGTAAATTAAATTGTCAAAAGATATTTAATCGAACAAATTCATTATCTTTTAAAATAGTGTGAGATAGAAGAATGTCCCACCAACAACCCATAATATTCAAATTTTTTTCTTTTATTAGTTCTAAATGTGAGTGTGTATATGGGGTGTGTTAAAAAAATATATTTTTAATTTATTATATCGCATAGACGATAAATAGTGGGTGGGTGGAGAAGTTTGTGCATAAGGTAAAAATTAATTTTTTTTTTTTTTTTTATTTTTTAATTATTTTATTTATTTTTTTTATATTTTTTAAATTATTTGGTGAGAGTGTGCGTAATTTATTTTTTTTTTTTTTCACAAAGCATTAATTTATTTTTTTTTTTTTCAATTACATAAATCTATCTTTATTTATGGACTTGTTGTTGTTTTTGTGTTAATCACAATTGTGTTTTTACGTTAGTTAGTTTGATATCAGACATAACCACCACATAGATTAGATTTAACTATACCTCCTTTTTTTAACTAATAATAATAATCATAATAGTAATAATAATAATAGTATTATAATTATTTCTTATTTTTTATTATATATATATTTTATTTGTTTTTGTTTAAATTTTTTTTTATTTTTTCATTTTTTTTTTTTCATTTTTTTTTGTTTATTAAAATTTAATCATATAAAAACGATATTGTGTTTGAATATTAAAAAAAAAAAAAAAACACAAATATTTCATCAATATATTATTTTATAATTATTATTTTATTATTATAATTAGCAGCATTCAAATTCTTGTTTTTATTTAATCAAAAATACAAAAAATAAAATAAACCAAGATATATAATAATAAAACATATAATACTATATATAGTTTCTTTTGTTATTTTTGTCACTTTATGATTATTAATAAAACCAAAATAGTAATAATAACAATAATAAACTAGATAGATTAATAGTAGTAATTAAAAGAAACAGTAATAGAAATAAGAGTAACTGTAGTATAGTATAGTATAGTAATAGCAACAGTTAATAGTAGTGTGTGAAAAAAGTTATAAATAGCAATAATAAAACTAGAAACTGGTCTAATTTTAATTTTAATTTAACCCTTAATCATCAAATAGAGTAATAACTTTATTTTTTACCATTATTATTATAATTTTTAAACACCACTCTCCCCCCCCACTACCACCACCATTACATATAATAACAACAACACAATATTTATTTATTTTTAAATTATTATTTTTATTTATTTTTATTTTGTTCAATAATTTTTTTTGAATAAATAGAAAAGAAAAAAAAAATGAGAAATATTGGACACATACAATTAAAAGATATGGAAGAATCACATGGTGATAATGAAGAGTATGATATGGATGGAGAAGTTCATACAAAAGGAAAGAAATCTTTTTCAGATAGCAAATTTTCAATTAGAAATATTTACAATTATTTGACCGGAAGCAATACAAAAAAAGCAATTTTAATAATTTTCGTTTGTTCAATTTTTATTATTTTCACAATAGTTTTTTCAATCGCAGCTAAACGTAATATTTATAATTTTATTATTAGATTATGTGGGAATTGTTATATTAATTTTTTTATTTTTATTTTAGCACAATTTGTTTATTCAGATATTAAATTACCAACCAATATTGTACCAATACACTATTTAGCTCATATAGATACTGATGTCAATCCTAACAATAATTTTTCATTTAGTGGTAAAATTGTAGCAACTATCAATGTAACAAATACAAATAAAAATAAATTGGACTATATTGTAATTCATAGTGCGGATATTGAAACTTTAGAAATCTCCAGTATATATTTAGAACCAGTTTTAAACTATAAACCCGATATTTATCCAAACTCAACAGACCACGACGAAAAACTAGCAATCGAACCAAACAGCAAAATTTATAATTCAGACAACAGTTATTATATTTTATATTTTAACGATTTACCAAAACTATATACCGTAATTATTATTTTGTAATATAAACATTTTTAATATTTAAAAATATATACTAATATCTTTTATTTTATAAAATAATTATTTAGAAATACGGTACAATTTTTAAATTATATATAGAATATACAGGTTCATTAAATAATGAAGCAACTTTATTAAGAGGCTTATATTTATCGACATATGAATCACCCCAAAATAGTGGCAACTCAAAATATTTAGCAGTATCACAGTTTGAACCAGTTGATGCAAGATTAGCATTCCCATGTTTCGATGAACCAAATTTAAAAGCAAAATGGACCATTTGGGTTTCACACAGCAACTCCTTCACACCACTTTCAAATATGCCAATTCAATCACAAAAACCTATTCAAGATAATAGAACCACAACTAAATTTAATACAAGCCCAAAAATGAGCTCATATTTAGTTTGTATTGTAATCCATCAATTCAAGAGTGTATCTCAACTTTATATTAGAAATGATAATACAACTGTTAATGTTACTGTTTGGGCCGAAGACGAACTTATCGACTATGTTAACTACCCATTAGATATGGCTATCAAATCAATCAAGTTTTTCGAAGAATACTTTGACATTGAATATCCATTACCAAAGATGGATTTAGTTGCCATACCAGATTTTGCTGCCGGTGCCATGGAGAATTGGGGTCTTTTAACATTTAGACAATCTGATCTTCTTATTAGCGAAAAAAGTTCTGACCAAGAAAATAGACAACGTGTAAGTGAAGTAGTATCCCACGAAATTGCTCATCAATGGTTTGGAGATTTAGTAACAATGAAATGGTGGAATGATTTATGGCTTAATGAAGGTAATTATAAAAAAACAAATAAAAAAAATAACAATAATAATACTAAATTTTTTTTATTCAATAGGTTTTGCTACATTCATGTCATATAAATGTATGGAGAGTGTTTCAAAAGATTTTGATAGTAGAGAAATTTTCCAATATAGTTCAAAACAACCAGGTTTAGATGTTGACGCCTCACCATACACCCATTCAATTTCTAATAACTATACCGATCCAATTGATATTATGTCATCTTTTGATAGTGTAACATATGATAAAGGTTCAAGTATTTTATTAATGTTAGAATCAATGGTCGATAGTATTAAAGAAAATGCTTTTAGAGATGGTATTCGTAAATATTTAAAGAAATATCAATATGGTAATGCTATGACAAATGATCTTTGGAATTCATTGTACGAATCGATCAACTTTAATCCAAAGATGGTTATTCCAGATATTATGAATCAATGGACAAGTCAATCTGGTTTCCCATATTTAATGGTAAAGAGTGTCAATTTAGAAAACGGTACATATCAAATAAGTCAATCTAAATTTATTCAACCAAATATTACACAACCAAGCGATTTTAAATCAGATTCTCTTTGGTGGATACCAATCAGAGTTAAAGACAATTGCGAACGTGAAACTCTTATCACTCTATCAAATGAATCAATGAGATATGTCAATGGCCCATCAAGGTGCGGTGCTGGTCCATTTATTGTTGCAAACTATGACGCCACTGGTTTCTATAGAACTCTTTATGACCAGGCTACATTCGACAACATCTTAAAAAGACTTTCATCCCCAAGCGAACAACCATTCGATATATATCAAAGAATCACTATTGCTGATGATATTTATGCTTTCTCAAAAATTGGTTTAATCGAAACTTACAAAACACTCGAAGCCTATAGTTACACTGTAGACACTAAGGAAACTGACTTTGTAGTATGGAAAAATATTTTAAGCTTCCTCTCATTTGTCCATAATCGTCTCGAAAGCCAACCATGTTATATTCAATTCATAAAAAAAGCTCAAAATATTTTCACCAAGGGTTTACTTCCACATATAATTAAAGATTTAGATCCAAATAAGCCACTAAGTGATTATAGCTATAATGATTTAGAATTAAGAAAGTCTGCTTTCTCAAAAGTTAACACATTATCAATTCCAGATCTTAAAAATCATCTTTATAAAATTTATCAAGATAATAGTAAGTATAATTTAACAATAGCAAATTAATTTAAACCATTAAAATTTATTAATAATTATACTTTTACTTTTAAATCACTATAATATAGTTAATACACCCGAAAAAATTGACCCTTCAATTAGAGGCCCATGCTATTCATCGATTGTCAGAAATGGTGATATTTCTGAATATGAATGGGTTATGGATAGATTTAAGAAAACCAAACTTAATGAAAAAATTGACTCACTTAAAGCTTTGGCAAATCCAAAAGATCCACAATTAATATATAATACTTTAAGAATGGTTATAAATGGTGAAATTAGATCACAAGACTATTATATGGTTTTCATTGAAATGTCATATAGTCCATATGCTAGAGAAATTGCTTGGAATTTCTTTATTCAAAACTTTGAATTCTTTAAATCGTAAGTTATTAATATCTATTTGTTTATTATTTAAAGTTATAATATTAATTTTTATTTAGACTCCCACCAGGCGATATAGGTAAATTTGTTTATTATTTTGCCAATAATATGGATTCCCAAGAAAAAATTGATCAAATTGTAAACTACTTTAATGAATCCCATCCAATTCCATCATCATCGTTAGCAAACTCTATTGCGGCAATTCAATATAATATGAATTGGGTCGAAAATCAAGCTCCTCAATTATGTAAATGGTTAGATGAAAATTAAACAATCAAATAACCAAATAACCAAATAATAGTTAATTAAATCAAATAAAAAATTTTTATTATATTAATTAATTGTTTTTTTAAAAAAATAAATTATTATATCAAAATAACAAAATATTTTAAATTGGCCCCATTTTGTTTTTTTTTTTTTTTTTTTTTTTTTATTTTTCCAAAAATAGGAAAAATATTGTCATAAAAAATTTATTTTGGAGGGGATATAGAAGAAAATATTAAGATTACATATCACTCAATTGCCAATGACTTAACTTTTGCTGAAATTTATTTAAGGTTCACTCAATTTTGTTGTTCATGATCAAGAGAAAGAGTTTTCACTTTCCACCAACATTACTGAACAGAGATGGAGAGAATTATATTTCTGTTTGGTCCCGTTACAAGCTGTGCTCTTATAATATTATTGTATGCATTAATTGTTAATAATTTTACAAAGAATGAAATAGTTGTAAAATAGTCGAATTTCATTTTCAGTTTTTTTTTGTTTCTTTGTTTAAACTGAAATTTAAAAATCGTTAATGGACCAAATAAATAAAAAATTAAAATAATTTAAAAATTTAATTTATTTTTTTTAATTTTTTTTTTTTTAATTTTTTTTAATTATTTTTGGGTTCTTTTTTCCACATTCTTTGATATGAAAATCTGAAATGTTTAACGAAATCAATTATTATAAATTATAATATAATATTAAAAAACAAATAAAGTTATCTTTTTTTTTTTTTTTTTAATTTTTATATTTTTATTTATTTATATAAAATATTCTATTTGTTTAATATTATTATTTAATTTATATCTTTCCTTTTTATTATTACATTTATTTATTAAAAATAAAAAATAAAAATATTGTTAATGTGTGGTAATATTTTTTGTTTAAAAAAAATTTTTATATTAAAAGTTATTTTTATTTTTTAATAATTATTATTAAAAAACATAACTTTATCCTTAAATGGAAGAGGTAGAATTGCAAGATATCAAGAAACCAGAAGATAATATTATTGATGAAGGCTCAAATATAGAAATAAACAGCAATAGTAATAATACAAATAACAATGATAAAATTACAACAACAAATAATAATGATGAAAACAAAAGCATATTAAATTTAATTAAAGAATATTTTATTGATTATTTTAAAAAATGGAAGGGCTATGAAAAAGCACCAAAAAGAGCAGATTTCGAAGAAATTGGATGGAGTTGGTTATCTTCATTTATTGGTATACTAGTTTTAGCTTTACTTCATTACAGAGTAGCAATAGATAAAGATATGTTAATGCTAATAGGTTCATTTGGTGCTTCTGCTGTACTGGTTTTCGGTGCACCTAAAGGGCCCTTATCCCAACCCCGTAATTTAGTAGGAGGCCATATAGTATCTTCAATAGTAGGCGTCACCCTAAGATTAGCGTTGGTATATACTAATGCTAATATCGAAGTTGCATGTGCACTATCAGTAAGTTTGGCGATTGTAGTAATGCATTTAACCACAACATTACACCCACCTGGTGGTGCAACTTCGTTAATTGCTATTATTTCTTCTGAACAACGTTGGAGGGGTTATTATTACTGTTTGGTACCTGTTGCTTCGGGCTCTCTTATAATGCTACTTGTTGCCATAGTGGTAAATAACTTTGCAAGAAAAAGAAGATACCCTGTATTTTGGTAATTTACATAATAAAAAAAAAAAAATTTCGAATTGTAAAAAAATATAATTTAAATTATTATTTTATTTTATTTTATTTTATTTTAAATTTTTTTTTTTGCTTTTTTTTTTTTTTTTAATAATTTTTTTTTTTTATTTTAAGTTTTTTTTTTATTATTTTTATTTGGTTTTATGATAAGAAACAATAAAAAGTTAATTATATAAGAGATAATGAATAATATAGTTTTTTTAAATGATGATTCAGAAAATGAAAATGAAAATGAAAATGAAAGGCTTGCAAAATTTTTAGAATCAAATGTTCCAAAACAAACCTTAAACTCTTCAAAAATTTCAGGTAATAGCTCAATAGATTTAACTCAATCACCATCATCCCCACCGCCATCATCCCCTCCACCATCATCTCCCCCACCATACCCAAAACAAACAGCAATTAAAGGAAATAGAAAATATAGAAATGATAGAGGTTCTTTGAACAATAGAAAAAATGGCCAAATTATAAATAATACAATTATTTTTGTAAATAACTCCAATAAAAAATTCAAAATAAATAATTTGAATATAGATAATAGTAACATTAATATAATTAATAAAGATGAAAGAAACAAAAAACAAAAAGTAGATAATAGCAAAAAAGATGAAGAACCCAATGAAAGAAGAGAGAACGAAAATCCCATCAATAGTAGTTCCGAGGGTGGCAAGAAGACTCATTTCCAATGTAATATTTGTAAAGATGGTATGATGTTGGATTCAATTACAGCTGCAATGTGCGGTCACTGTTTTTGCTTAGCATGTATCGAAGGGCATTTAAAGAAAAGCAACACTTGTCCAACTTGTAAAAAAAGAATACATAAAAGTCAAATTCATCCAATGTATCTCAATTTAGAAAAATTTTAGATATAATCAAAACAAACACTGTAAATAATAATAAAAATACCTTTTTGTACAGTATAAAAAAAAAAAAAAAAATCTATATTATTTTGTTAAATATATTTATTATAATATATTTTTAATGTTTTATTATATTATATTTTTATATTTTATAATATATTATATTATTATATTATTATATTATTATAATATAATATATTATATTATTATATTATTATTATATTATTATTATTATATTATATTATTTGTTTAAAACTATTTTTGATTCACTTTCTTTTTCTAAAGATTCGAACAATGCAATGATATTTCCTTTGCCAAAACCCAAAGCATTTGATCTTTCAATTAATTCAAAAAATATTGTTGGGGAATCTGAAATATATTTTGTGAAAATCTATTATAATAAAAAAAAAAGAAATTAATATTTAAGATTTTAAACTTTAAAAGTTGAAAATGAAACCTACCTGTTTAATATATCCAATATCTTTATTATTACTTTGATTTATAATTTGTTCTGAATCAGAGTCAATTAAAATTCTATATTTCATTAAACTACTTTTTAACTCTTCAGGAATTCCATTTGGGAAAAGATGCTTTAATCTTTCATCCAATTTATTGTAGTATGATTCTGGGATATAAACAAACTCTAACTTTTGACTTTTTGCATTATCTACAGCTTTAAATATATCAGAAGAGTTGAAAGCCAAATGCTGTACACCTGAACCATTAAAGTAGTGAATAAATTGTTCGATTTGACCCTCGCCACCCTCGATAGCTTCAGAGATAACAAATTGAATTGGTGGAGTTTTATAGTGTTGTGTGTTTGATGGCTGATTTGATAAAACTGCCATTTTTAAACCAATATTTTCTTTTTTTGTATACTTGAAATCTTTTTTCGAAATTACATAAAAATTTTTATCTAAAATTAATTCATTCTCTAAATTGTCACCATCGTTTACTGAATCTGAAAGCAATTTGAAATTTAAACACTTGTGATACCATTGAACAAAATGATTCATTTCCCCATGTTTAACACATGTTGCAACATGATCCAAGGAACCTGTTATACCATTTAAACTTTTAAACAAAAGTGATCTACTGTCGACATTAAAATTATCTAAATCATTGAGAGCATTAAACTGTGGGAATAATCTTAATGGATTGTTTGATTGTTTCTCTTCCAATGATCCAATATCTCTGTTTATGAATGTATGATTTAAATCTTTAAATGGTGATTGAATAACAGCTCTTTCTACAATATCCAATTCGTTATTAAATTTTTCTATAATTGGCTCCAAAACTGAAATAGCACCACCCTCAATTGATTTATTAAATGCTGCTTTTATATCTCTCTAAAAACATAAACCAAATTAATAATTTATTACCATGATCATGACTTTTTATTAAAACCTACACAATAAAATGTTATATTTTGAATAAAATCCCCATGTTGTTGATGCTTTGAATGAAACTCTATATCCTTTGAAGATATTGAGCTTGTAACAATAATAAATTGATGTTCTCTATCTTTAATATATGAATTGTTTTCGATTTCAAATCCAATTTCTAAATTATCTCTCGAAATGATATTATTTAACAATAAGTACTGAACTCTTGTTCTTTCTTTATTGAATCTGGTTCCAATAACATTAAAATTAAGTGGCTGTAAATAGGACTTTATAAATGATTTACCATTAGATACCCAAAATTCTAAATTATCAATAAACTGAATATTGTTTTGAATATTATTTTCTTTCATTTTTTTTTTAATCTATATAATTTTTATTATTAGTAATATGATTATTATGAACAATGTTTATTAAAAAAAAAAAAACATAAACAATGAAAATCGTGTAATATTTTGATTTTTGACAAAAAAAAAAAATAAAAAAAATTAAAAAAAATAAAATTTTTTTTGATTGATGAAATAATTATTATGCTAATAATATTTTTAAAAAGTTATTAATTTTTATATTTATTTCTTAAAAAAAACTATTGAATTTAAAATAAAAAAATTTATATATAATAAAAATTAAAATAAAAAATTTAAAAAAATAGATATATATATATATATATTTTAACCCAAGTAAAAATTAGTCACAATCTGGTATAAATAAAATAAATAAAAAAGTATGATATTTGAAGATTATTTAACTCCTTTTATCAGGTAAATTAATAAAAGTAATTGTTAATCTAATGGGTTACCATTTTTGCTTGAGATTAGAAGAAAGATTCCAAGCCAACTCGTTCTATTTAAAAAGGAAAAAAGAGAAATAAATAATTATAATTTTCAATTGTTTTTTATATATATATGATGTAAATAAAATAAAATTTTTTATAAAATTGTTTATTTTTTAAAAATAATAATTTATTTAAAAATTATATTCTTTTTTTTTTCAACTGAATGCATTCATGTGTGTACAGATACCACACCTTTTCTTTTTTTTTTTTTTACATTATAAAAATTATTTATCTGTTTTTACTTTTTTAAAAACACACCACCAAAAGTTCGATTGCCAGCTGTACAAGTAAACTATTTAATTTATTAAAAAAAAATTGAACATGACTAAAAAAAACTGTGATAATTATAGATATAATAATTAATATTTGTTTTTAAAGATTAATTTTTTTTATTTTTATTTGTTTAAACACACATTAGTTTTTTTTTATTATATGTTTTTTTGTGGAAATGTTGGCTAAAAATTTATTATTGGTTTATTTTTTTTTAATATTTTTATTAGTAAGTCTTAAATAAACCCTTTTGATTTGTGAAAAAACTGACATTCTATTGAAAAATTTTACAAAATATTGATATCTGCCAAATAAAGTACCATAGGTCAAGAGAATAAATGGATACACGGTGTACATTGTTAGGAAATAAATAATGCTATATTTGACATCCATTGGCACTGATCCTGTGATAATACTGACGAGACTTGATGGATTTGGATATCCAAAAATGTATTTTAGTAAAAACTTAACAACATAGAGTGATGAAGTACCAGTAACACCAAAAATTGCAAATATATAACTTTTTTCTAACCACCATTTTGAACTAAATCTTGGATATTCGTAAATATTTTTTAAATATTTATCAATTAAAGTTTTATTATCTTCGTTATTTTTTTTATTGTTCATTTTAATTTCTGTTTCTTTTATTGTATCGTCTATTGTTTCTATTTTTTCTTTAATAATTGATTCATTAACTTTTGTGGTATTATTAATATTATTATTATTATTATTGTTATTGTTATTGTTTGAAGTAAAATATCTATTAATACTATTATTATAATTGCTATAGCACTTGGTATTTATTTGATTACTTGATATAAATCTATAACAATTATTATGGCTATTGAATGTTTTGGTGTGGGATAGCTTATGAAAATTTTTTAGTGGGGTCAAAAATTTATTTAAATTATTCATTTTTTTTTAATTTTTTTTTCAAATTTTTTTTTTTTTTTTAAATTTAAATTTGGAAGTTCACCTAACTGTTATTGAGATTATTATAATTATAATTGTATTTTATATATTTGTTATATCAACACCAAATATTTTGTAAAAACAACTAAGTGATGATAAAAAAAAAAAAAAAAAAAAAAAAAGTAATTTTTTCGTAGCAAAAACATAAAAAATTTTTTTTAAAAATTTAAAAAAAATAAAATTAAATAAAATCTTTTTTTAAAATTTTTTTTTTGGTTGTTTAATTAAATAATAAAAAGGATTATGGATAAACCTATATTAATAATTTTTTTTTATCACAATCATTTCAAAAAAAAAAAAAAAAAAAAGGAAATCTAATCAAAGGTTAAAATTTAAGATTTGTTTAAATAAGGAAATCTATAGTAATCAAAGGTATGTATATTTTATTGTTCTATATAGTATATTTCAATCAAATATGGTAATTATTTGTTTTTTTTTCAGGAAATAATTATTATAAAAAAAATAAATAGTTTTTATAAAAAAAAAAATAAAAATCTATTTTTTTATTTTTTATTTTTTATTTTTTTTTATTTTTTTTAATTTTTTTTTCATAATTTATTATTTTCTTTTTTCAAAATTTTTTTATTTTTCCTTAATTCATATATATTGTATTTTTATTATTATTCTATTTATTTATTTATTTAATTTTGTAATATATTTTTATAACAATGACATCAATCGATATTACAGATCCAGAAATTATAAAGAATGTTAAATTAGTTCAAGATGGTTCAAGCGAGCACCGTTGGGTTGCTTTTGGTTATGTTCCAAAATCAAATAATAAATTAAAACTCTATGACTATGGTCCAGGTGATTTAAAAGAATTAAGAGAAGAGTTAGGAGATTCAACCATTAGATTCGCCTATATGAGATACAGTATCAATAATATGCCAAAATTTGTTTACATTGCTTGGTGTGGTGATGGTGTCAATGGTCCAATCAAAGGTTCATTCTCTGGCCATGCTATTCAATTTGGTACCCATCTCAAACCAGTTCATCATCAATTAAATGCTCGTAACGAAGATGATCTTGATGAAAAAGCTATTATCGCTTCATTAACTAAAGCTACTGGTGCTAATTACGATAGTGGTGCTAAAGTTCAAGGTGCTACCAAAGCTTTTGTTCCATCATCTGTTGCTCAAGGTAGAGAAAGTGCCACCAAATCAAATGCTGAAGTTAAAAACTTTGTTAATAAAAATGATTACAACAAGATTAATGAATCTGCTGAATACTGGAAAACTCAACAACAACAACAACAACAACAAGCTCCAGCTCCAGCTCCAGTTGCTAAAGCTGCACCATCTAGAACCGTTGCTAATAAATTCCAAGAGCAAGCATTAAAACCAGCCCCAGCTCCAGCCCCAGTTCAAAAACCAGCTCCAGCAAAGAATGTATTAAATCGTTTCCAACCAGTTCAAAGTACACCAGTCTCTGCCCCACCACCATCTCGTCCATCAAAACCAGCTCCAGTTGTTCGTCAACCAGAACCAGAACCAGAACCAGTTTATGAAGAACCACAACAAACATATGAAGAGCCACAACAAACATATGAAGAACCACAACAAACATATGAGGAACAACAATACGACCAACAACAATATGATCAACAACAATATGATCAACAACAATATGATCAACAACAATACGACCAACAACAATACGAGCAACCACAAGAAGAACAACAATACGACGAACAACAATATGATCAACAACAATATGATCAACAACAATATGAACAACCACAAGAAGAACAACAATATGATCAACAACAATATGATCAACAACAATATGAGCAACCACAAGAAGAACAACAATATGATCAACAAGGTTATAATGATGGTTATACTAGAGTTAAAGCTTTATATGACTATGTCGGTGAAAACGAAGGTGATTTATCATTTAAAGTTGGTGACATTATTATTGTTTTGGATCAAAGTGACCCAGATGGTTGGTTCCAAGGTCAACTTGATGATGGATCAAACGGCTTTTTCCCAAGTAACTTTACAGAATTCATTTAAAGAGATAATGATGTATAGGATTATCAAGATATATTAATCATTAAAAATAAAACAATAAAATAAAATGAAATAAAATTAAAAGAAAATAATTTTTATTACAGCCTTTTTAATTTTTATTTAAAGAAAACAATATAATTACAGGTTTGGTTTATTTACAACAATGATTATTTTATTTATTTTTTTTTATTTATATTGTAGCAATCATATTTTTTATGACTATAAACTGGCAGATTTTCACGGATTTCATTTAAAAAGTTCAAATCAATATCGCAATAAGCTATTTCATCGGTAACATTTTCATCGATTTCACACAAAACTTCACCCCAAGGGTCAACTATTAAACTGTGGCCATAGGATTTTCTTTTTGGATGATGATTACCGGTTTGAGCAGCAGCGACAACATAACATTGATTTTCAATAGCCCTGGCTCTTAAAAGAGTTGACCAATGGGCTTTACCAGTGGTATAGGTAAAAGCGGATGGTACCAGTATAATTTCAGCACCCATTTGTCTTAGAGTTAAATAAAATTCGGGAAACCTAACATCGTAACAAATTGAGATACCTAAATTTCCAACTGGTGACTTACAAACCATAATTTCATCACCACTTTTAACTACTTTACTTTCATTCATAGATACACCCTTTGATGGTATATCAACGTCAAATAAATGCATTTTATGATACTTTACTACAATTTCACCACTTGAGTCTATAATTAAATGAGTATTATAAATTTGATCTGGCTCTTCTAAAATTTTTTCATGAAATCCACCTAAAGAAAGCCACATACTATGTTTTTTTGCTAAATCTCTAAACTTTTCAATAGTTCCATCTGGTTGATCAATGTACTCTGCATTATTTCTCGAATCCATTGGATCCACACCACCGCCAATAAACGCAAAGCATTCTGGTAAACAAAATAAATCTACTTTAGAGTTGGCTGCTTTTTCTATTAAACCTTTGCATTTTTCAAAATTAACGGTTTTATTATTAATACTTGTTAATTGACCTAAACCAATTCTTTTTTTATTGTTAGCATTTGTTGTTTCTGTGGACATTGATCTATTTATTAGGATGTTATTATTTTTATTAATGAAAATTTTATTAATATCTTTAAATTTTGATCTAAAAAAAAACATGTTTAAAAAAATTAATATAATAAAAAAAAATTTTATTAAAAAAAAAATAAAAAAAAAAATAAAAAAAAAAAAGAAATTTAGTTTTATTAAAATTTTTTTTTTATTTTATCTGTTTCAAAAAATGGAAAAAATTTTTGTTAAAAACGACAAACAAAATTTAAATTTTATTTAGTGTTTAATTTAATTGCGTGGTATTGTTTTTATTATTATTGTTACAGCCATTTAAATTGATATTTCGGAGTATCGCATTTCTAAGGGACCTTTGATATCTTAAATAAATAATTTTCTTTTTTAGTTTTTATCCATCTTGTTCGCTATAATTTATTATAAAGATTTTTTTAAATAAAAAAAAAATTAGAAAAATAGAATTTAGGTTATAAAAACTACACAATAACATAGGGCATTTAAAAAATATATGACCTATATTCACACAAATAACCCAACATAATTTTATTTTAAAAAAAAATTATTTTTAATTTTTTTTTTTTTGATTTTTTGAAAATTTTTTTTTATATTAATAAAAAAAAAAAAAAAAATTTAAATTATATTTTTTTTTTTTTTTTTTTTTTTTTTTAAAAAAAAACTCATTTATAAGCTTGGAAATATTCTATATATAATTTAAAAATAATAATATTTATTTATACAATAAACAATGAACTCCATTACAAGCAATGTTGATTCATTGCTTTCAACATTGTCACTTTCTACACAATCATTGGGTTCATCTGGATTAGTTGGTTCAACGGGTATAACACAACAACACCAACCAGGAAATTCAAATTCAATGGTAGATTGCATTAAAGAGGGGGTATTGGCTTATATATATTTAGTAGATGAATCTTATATTCAACAATCACAAGGCAAAGAAATCGAACCATTAATACCTCTACCAAAAAAGCTATATACACAACAACAATTTAATAAATCGCCACCTTTTCAATTTCAACCAAATAACGAAAATATATCATTAAATAAAGATGTAATTATTCATAAATATATTATTTTATTTTTAAAAATATTAATTTTTTTTTTTTTTAGATTTATAACTATTTAAATTTTTTTGAAGTTGGTCAAGGAAAAGATTTTCATTGTAAAGACAGTATAAAAAGATATGCAAGATTTCATTTAAATTTAACATTAAAGTTTATGGGTTGTAAATCAATTCATGCAAGACAAATTTCAAATGCTGTATTTGAACAATTTGAAAAATGTAGAACAGAAGTTAATAATAATAATAGCAATAACAATAATAACAATAATAATAGTAATAATAATAGCAATAATAATAATAATAACAATAATAATAGCTATCGTCCAATATATTGTTTATCGATTCAAAGAAATATATTTTATTATATAATTGGACATATTTTAGCATGCTTTCAATATTCTAAACCACAATATCAAGTTGATTTTCCAGTATCATGTGAAGTTCAAGATAAAAAACATTCTTTTACAATTTTATTGGGTGGTACCTCTGGTTGTGGTAAAAGCACTTTAACTGCACTTTTAGCTTCAAGAATTGGTTTTACTGCTGTAATTTCAACTGATAATATTAGACAGTTATTAAGAAAGTTTATAAGTAGACAAGAATCACCCATTTTATGGGCTTCAACCTATCATGCTGGTGAAATTATTTCAGATTCATCATTATCTCACAAAGAAAAGGTATATATTGGAATATTTATTTTTATAATTGGTTATATTATAATATTAATTTTTTATTTATTTTTTTTTAAAGATTTTAAAAGGTTACGAAGCACAAAATGAAATGATATTTAATAAATTAGATGTATTAATAGGACATTACGAACAAAGAAAAGAATCTTTAATTGTTGAAGGTGTACATTTAGATACTAAACTCATTGTAAGATTGGTAAAGAAACATCCATCATGTATTCCATTTTTAATGTATATTAGTAATGAAGCAAAACATAAAGAAAGATTTGCAATTCGTTCAAAGTATATGACTTTAGATCCACATCAAAACAAATATACAAAATATTTTAAAAACATTCGTATAATAAATGATCATTTATGTAATGGTGCTGACGAATATATGGTAAGTAGTATCAAATGGTTCTGATAATCACAATGTTTTTTATATTAACTTTTATATTAATTTACTTATTCTATAGATACCACAAATCGATAATACCAGTATAGATAGATCACTTGCAACTATTCATGGTACAATTTTCGCTTGTTTAAAAAGAAAGGTTCAATGCGGTGAATCTTACTTCAATCACACAACAAATAAATTAAATATGTTATATCACGAGTATGAACAAATCCAACATCAATTTTGGTCCTCAAAGGGTATGTTAAGATTAATTCAAAAGAAGAAAACTACCAGCTCAAACTCTATCAGCGGTGCTAACCACAATAATAGTAGTGAACCTACAGAAGAAGTGGAGGAAAACTTCAATAGTGACGATGACGATGACGATGAGAACGAACAGGATAATACAGAGGAAGTTAATGGTAACAATCTTAAAAAATCATCCTCCTCAAAAGATAATGATAGTAGTAAAAACAAAGATTCAGATTCAGACCAAGATTCAGATTCAGATACTGACAGTAATGATGATAGAATTGATTATTATTTAGATTGTGGTTCACTTGGCAGTTAAACACTTTTATAATCACAGCATAAATATTTAAACCCTTTTTTTAATTTAAAATTTAAAAATAAAAAATAGATTATTTATACAAAATTTGATAATCTCATTGTATTATGATTTGGACATTGTTTTATTATTGATATTTTATTCTAGTTTAATTATTATTCTTGATTTTATTTACCAGTGGAATCAATCACTGATTTTATAAAGAAAAAGATTTCTTTAGAATATAATACAATTTGTTGCATTTCAGAATAAAAAAAATAAAATAAAAAAAATAAAAAAAAAATAAATAAAATTTTCCTTTTTTTTTTTTTTTTTTTTTTTTTTTTTTTTCAATTTTTTTTTAAATTTTTGCATATGTTAAAAAAAGAACCAGTTATAGCACTTTTATAAATAAATAAAATAGAAATATATATTTTTTTCTTTTTGGTTTCCTGTGTTCTTAAAAAGAAAAATTAATTTTTTTATTTTTATTTTTTTTATTTTTTTTTTAATTTTTTTAATTTTTTTTTTTTTTTAAAATGATTGTCAACAAAAAAAATTTTTTATTTAAATTAAAAAATTTTAATTTTACTGGTTCATTAACATCACCAATATTTAATTATAACAAATATTTTTCAAATAATAATATATATATAAATAATACAAATAATAGTTTAGTTTATAAAAAGAATTTTTTTTCATCCCTAAAGACAAATATGAGTGATATTACACCAGAAATTATTGAAAGGTATAGTATTGTTTATATACTTTAAATAATTTTTTCTACAAAATAGTTATTAATTTTTTTTTTCATAGCCATACAGTTTCAAGAGAAACACCTGTTTATAAGTTAGATGCCACTGAAGCATTTAAGAAATTAACAGAAAAAGAAAAATTATATTCCCATTACCTCAGCCAAGCATGTTGGTGGGGTTCAAAGATTTGTCTTGGTCAAACCTCAGTAGAGTCAGCTCCAATCTTCCATCTCCTCCAAAATATTTTCTCATTATCAACTTTCAAAGCTTTAAGAGAAAAACTTGTTCCATCAGTTGTCTCTGAAGTCGAATATAATGATCTTTTGTTATATGCTGCCACATTTTATGGTAATATGGGTAACTACTTATCATTTGGTGATAGTAAATTTATTGTAACTATTAAAATAATTTAATACAGTTGTTTATCTTTTTTTTTCTAATTTAATTTTTAAATTTTTTATCTTATAGCCAAGAATTCCAAAAGAGAAATTTGAAAAAATTATTAAAACTATTAATAATGAAACAATTAGTAAATATTGGAGCCAATGTGGTGAATTAATGTATTCATTAGAAAAAAACCAAAGAGAGCTTGGTGTTGATGGTAATGGTATTTCAACTTACTATTCACCAAATATTACCAAAGTTGAAATTGAAAAAGTTCAAAAGTTTTTAGATTCAATCCATCTCAGCCCATACAACACTCGTTTATTCAAAGTTTCTGAAAACAATTACAATGTTTTAGTTGCTAGTGTTAATACAATCCCAGTTAAAAGTCATCAATATGAAGGTTATACAATTAATATTGTATATGGTGACTGGAGCAAAGATCTTGCAAGAGTTGCTGATAACATGAGAAAAGCTATTCCATATGCCGCCAATGATAACCAAGTAAATATGTTAAAGAAATATGTTGAACACTTTGAAGATGGTTCAATTGAAGTTTTCAAAGATTCACAAAGATGGTGGATTAAAGATTTACAACCGTAAGTAATATGGATAATATAAACTTTTTAAATTAATACTAATATTTTTTATCTTTATTTTATTTAGAACTGTCGAAACCAATATTGGCTTTATTGAAACTTATAGAGATCCAGCTGGTGTTAGAGGTGAATTTGAAGGTTTTGTTGCTATGGTTAATAAAGAAATGAGTCAAAAATTAACCACTTTAATTGACAAAGCTGAATATTTCCTTGCTAAATATCCATGGCCAAAAGAATTTGAAAAAGCTAAATTTAACAGACCAGATTTTACAAGTTTAGAGGTTTTAACTTTTGCTTCATCAGGTGTACCAGCTGGTATTAATATTCCAAACGATATGGGTATTCGGTAAGTTTTATAAAATAATAATAAAAATAAATGATTAAATTAACTAAAATTATATTTTTAAAAAAAAAAGTCAAAACGAAGGTTTTAAGAATGTTAGTTTAGGTAATGTTATTTCAGCCAGAAAAGATGAATATGTTACTTTTATTCCAGATGAAGATCAAAAGATGTACAATAAATTACAAAATGATGCATTTGAAGTCCAAGTTGCTATTCACGAATTATTAGGTCATGGTTCAGGTAGAATTTTCCACAAGAATGCTGATGGTACCTACGATTTTGATACATCAATTATTAATCCAATTACCGGCAAACCAATTGATTTAGACCATGAAGTTTATAAAACTGGTGAAACTTATGATAGTGTTTTCAAATCATTAGGTTCAAGTTGGGAAGAATGTCGTGCCGAATGTTGTGGTATGTACTTATCACCAGATTTATCACTCTTAGAATTATTTGGTTTCAAGGGTCAAGAAGCTGAAGATGTATATTACATTAATTGGTTAATTATGGCCAGAGCTGGTATTTGTGCTTTAGAATTTTATACACCAGAATTAAAGAAATGGAGACAAGCTCATATGCAAGGTCGTTTCGCCATTCTCCAAGTTTTCCTTCGTTCAGGTCTTGTTAAACTCGAAGTTACCGATGATAATGTCCTCGTTCGTCTCGATAGAGCTCAAATTAGATCAAAAGGTTTACCAGGTGTCGGTGAATTCTTAAAGATCTTAAATATTTACAAAGCAACCGCTAATGTCAAAGCTGCCACAGCCTTATTTGATGATTACACCAGTGTTGATGCTCAATTTATCAAGATTAGAGATATTGTTTTAGCCAAAAAGAAACCAAGAAGAGTCTTTGTTCAATCACATACTCATTTAAATGTCAACAACCAAGTTTACATTCAAGATTTCGCTGATAATGCTGAGGGTGTTATCGAGTCAATGATTACTCGTTTCGGTACTGAAGAATAGATTGTTTTATTAAATCATAAAAAAATAATATTAAATAAATAATATTTTTTTTATATATAATATAATTTTTTTTTAAGGGAATGATTAAAATATAATTATTTATTAAAATTTAATTTAGCAACCACGATTTCCATCACTTATTGGTATAGTTTGGCATTTACCAGATTTACATTGGTAGTCATAGTCACATGTAAGAGGATTTCCTGTTTCTGGATTAAGTGGAATACATCTTGGAACACCGTTTGCAATCCAACTAACAAGGTTATTTGTTGAATCACACTGATTACATGAATCACCTGAGAACCCTTGGGCACAAATACAATAGTTATTTGATGTTGAACCTTCATAGAGTATTTGTGAAGTACCACCATTTATTGAAACTCTATATATTTTAGAATTATATGAATAGTATATATAACCGTTGTAATATTTGAAAGAACTTGGTTCAATTGAAAGTATTGTTTTCTTTGGGCCAAATGGGTTTGAAAGAGATACACTATATAATTTATTATCAATAGTATTTGAGTAAAATAAATCTGTTGTTGAGACATCAAATTCTTTAATACTGTTTATTTTGCTATCATTGTATAGTACTGGTAAGTTTTTAATTGGATTTAAACCTTTTGGTTCATTTAGCTTACCAACATAAAAAGTATTTGATCCATCAAAAATATATAAAGTATTACCATTGTTTTTAATTTCACCACATGAACCTATATATATTTGATCACCTAAATTATTATATAACCCAATAGAACCTCTATAAATTGCACTTTGATATGGCCAACAAGTATATTGAATATTATTGTCTTCATCAAAAATAAAATTACCTATAAAATGAAATTTTTTTAATAAAAATATTTCAAAAATAAAAAATAAAAAATTTTAAAATTTACCTGGTTTGTTCCATGTTAATTCATTTCCAAAGGTATTGTTTTTGTAAAAAATATTTGATGTAGAACCAGCTATTCTAACTTCTCTATTAACAACCATATTTTGTGATTTTGGTAAAAATTGAAACATTCCCCTTATTAATTGATATGTGGATTGGCCAAATAATGTTCCTTGTGATTTTATATTATTTTGGACTCCATCAATAGGGATTGATACGATTCTGGGTTCAAATTCATCACTATATTTAATAGTAAACACAACTCTATTATTGATATTATCAATATCAATTTTATTTCCAAAACCATCTATAACAGTACCATTATTTTTACATAAGGTATATGGTGGATTACCGCAACTATTTGGACATGCTGATAAACTAAAATTTAAATTATTTAATAATAAAACTAAAACAAATATAATTAACATTTTTTATTTACAATAAAAAAAATAATTATTAGAAATAAAATAATAATTTGATTTTTTAAATTGTTTCTTTTTATACAATTATTATTTTATTAAATAAATAATAAAATAAAATAAATAATTTTAATAACAATGTTATTTTTTTAAAGTTTTATTTGTAAGTTGATCTGCTCAAGTTAGGGGTATGAAAATTCAAAAAAAAAAAAACTGTTTTAAAAAGAACCAAGGACAACCATAGAATATATTCTTTATATTAAAAAGGTTAAAAGTTTTTTGATTATATTGATAAAATTTCCTTTTTATAAAAAATATAATAATGATCTGATAAAAAAAAAGTATTGCATTATAAACTTAATAAAATCTTTCTAAAAAAGTATTAATATTTTATATTATTTTATATTTTTTTTTTAATTTATTGGTGGGTTAACAATATTTTGGAATGTGGGTTAACAAATCCACCCACTTCAAATTAAAGTTTATTAATATATTTTGTAATTTACAATTTATAAAAATAATTAAATTAATTAAATTGAGTTTTAAAACTTTAAAGTTTTATTATTTTTATCTTTTAGAAAAAACTATTATTTTATATCTTTATTAGATATGTTTAATTTTAAATTAAACCATTTTTTTTTTTTTTTGTTTATTTTTTAATCTATAAAAATAATAAAAAATAAAAATTAATAACTAATAATAAATAACTCTTATTTCTTTCGAATTTTTTTTTAAAAAAATAAAAAAATTAATAATATGCTAATAATTATAAAAAATTATTTGATTTCAAAAAATATATATTTTAAAAAAAGATATATTAAATAATAAATAATTTTTCAATTTTTATTTTATTTTTTTTCTATAAAAACAACAAACTCCATTGGATCCATACCCCCTTACTTGTTTGTTTGTTTTTTTGTTATAATTTTATTTTATTTTTTTAATTAATTTTTTTTTTCAAAAAATTGATACGTGTGGGGATTATTAATAATAAATAATCATAACTGTTTCAAATATTATTATAATAATAAAAAAAAGATACATACAAAAAAACTATAAAAATATTAGATATCAAACAATTTATTTAAAATTATTTATTTAATACATTTTGGTATAATTAATTTTTTTATTTATTTTAACAATTTTTTAAATTTTTTTTTTCTTTCAATTTATAGTATTTTAAAAAAGAAAAGGAAAATGATGGTAAATATTACTTTATTTAATTAAATTTAATAATTGATATTATATATACTAATTAAAATTATTTTTTTTTGGTAAAAGAAAAAAATTATTTTAAGTATCTTGTTATTTATGATTTTATTTAGTGTCTCTATAAGTTTAGCAAGTGATGAAGATCTAAATAGTAATGGAGATGTAGATTGTTATAGTAGTTGCGTAGATGAAAATAGAGATGTCTGTAAAACCGAATGGCAACAATGTGTATCATTAATGGAGCGTTGTAGAACTAACTGTGATAAAACTTCTAAAAAAATGATACAAATGAATTAAATATATATTATTATTTAAATTAAATAAAACTATTTATTACATTATTAAAAAAAAGTTTTTATTTTGTATTTTTTATTTATTTATATATATTGGTAAATTCCCTTCATATACAGTTATATTTATTAAATTAAAAAAATTATATTGTCCAAATTTTATGTATAT